ATCGAGACCTTTCATTTGAGTACCCACATGGTTTTTTTTATATATTTTATATATAAATGTATTTGATATATGTGTCATATATAAATATATGAAAAAGTCATGTGGGTACTCAAATGAAAGGTCTCGATGAGTGTATGCTCATGATGAGCTTATATCTTCGAAAATGGTAATATTTTTCTTGAAATCAACAAAAAAATTATTTACAATTTTATTGAAAATAATTTTTTTTTTTAAAACCAATAAGTAAATTTTACTTAAAAAATAAAATTAATTAAAGAAGAAATTTATAACTACTGATCCAATAAATAATAAATATATTCACATGAAAAATATGATTTCAAAGGTGCGGATTTACCAAATATATAACATAAATGACAAGATTGATTATATATACAAGCAACTACAAAAAGTCCTGATAAGATAAAAATGATATAATCTCGGATAAGTATGATAAAAAGAGCAGTACTCTATAAATGCATATATACGCTATACACATATATGTATATGGATATGACATTATACCATACTTGACGGTAAAGCACTATCGTATATAAGACCGACAATACGCCGTCATATATTATTTATGTATATAGTATAGTAATATATACTCATATATAATATATAATATATATATAATATATTACTAACTATAGCTAATAAGAGTTAGAAGTATTACTCACCAAGTAACACCGTGCAAAATGCGAGATTCAACTCAATACAAGTAATTAATAGGCAAGCGTTTGTTATTATTGATTATCTTCCTTAATTAAATACTCATTATTATTTCTTCTTTTTTTATCTTCTTATTTAATATTTTAAATATGGCCAAGGCTCTGCCTACTACCAACACCGTTTTGTTCAAATAAAATCACACGATTGCTTCTCCGTACCGGTTATTTACTTCAATGAGTCATTTTTATTGATATTAATTATTATTATTACCTAGAAGATGAGTAAAAATTATCATTATTCATTTTATTTTGACTTTAGTAATAAAAAATCATTTTTTTTTTTTATTAATTACAATGATAATTTGGAATTTGGTGATGAAGAAATGATTGATAACAAAATGGCGGGATTTTAATTTTAAAATGGCCGCGGCGGGAAAATTTTGAATTTCAAACATTTTAATTTATTCTTTTTGGTCAATTAATAAGTTATTACTGATATTAATAATTATTATTATTAAAATGGATCAAAATAATTACTATTAATTTAATTATGATTTTAGTGAAAAAAAAATTAATTTTTTTAATAAATTACAATGATAATTTAAAATTTGTTAAAGAAGTGATAGATAACAAAATGGCAGGATTTTTATTTTAAAATGGCCGCGGCGAGAAAATTTTGACATTCAAAAATTTTAATTCAACCTTTTGCTCAATTAATGAGTAATTATTAATTATTATTACCATTAAAATGGGTAAAAATTATCATTATTAATTTTGTTTTGACTTTAGTAATAAAAAATCATTTTTTTTTTTATAAATTAAAATGATAATTTGAAATTTGGTAATGAAGAAATGATAGACAACAAAATGGCGGGACTTTAATTTTAAAATGGCCGCGGCGGGAAAATTTAAATTAAAATTTTTTCATAATTATAATTTAAATTAAAAAAATGACTTACTAATATTTAACATCAGTCAATTTTTCCCGAAACTAAAAAATTATAATTATTAATTAAAAAAAAAAAATTAAACCCATTAATGATGATAATAATTATGATTCCAATTAAAATCGCTAAGCAAATAAAAAGGCAATAATGTCGAAATGGAGGACAATCGATGAGATACATTTAGGTCAAGCGTCGGTTCTCTTGAATGTAATTTCAAGTGAATCAGTCGTGTCATGTTATCAATTTTAAAAATTTATAATCATTTTTGTTCGTAAATATTTTTTAAAATAATAACGAGTACTCAAAAATAAATTGCAATTATAAATTTCATTATTTCTACTTATAGATTTAAAAGTTAACCCTTTGTTTATCTAAAGTAAATATTGAGGCATAAAAAAAATATTTATCTCAAGTATGAATTGTAAAAAGGCAATTAATTATATGAAATTTTATAGTTTGCTGTTGTAAATATGGATGACTTAACGATTATTTATTTCTGATAGTTTTATTTATCGCGTCAGTTAATCGCCGTAGGACGAGTGAATAGAAATCTAATGAAATAAGCGTGTGCTTTACTTAGAAATTTTTAACTTTTACGTTAGTTAGTTTATTTAATTCGGTGCTTAAGCAGAGTACTAACTTTGTGGTATTTTATTAATTCATTACTTTTATATTTAAAAATTCCATCTATAGGGACGGATATACGACGCTTCTACATCTCTTATCATTCATCAATCATCATGTTTTGTCTTCTCGGTTTAGTGCCCACTAGTCTAATCGTTAACGTCGTAAAAAATTAAATAGTCTCAGCATTTAGGTTTCTTTTTTTTTTTTTTGGTTGCTTTTGAACCAAGTATCTCAATTTTTCAAACACATTTTCATTTCAAGTCTAGCTATCAATTAATTCATTCAAATATCGCGTGACAAATTCCAAAAGAGCATGTAAAAAATTTTTTGCTACTTTTTAAATATATTGTAAGCTCTAAAATAAAAAAAAATTTTTGTTAGCCAAAAGGGCATATTTTACGTTTTTTTGGCTTTCAGAATCTCAAAATTTAGTGATCTAAAGTCAAATTGCACACAAAAAAAAATTAATCAAGAAATTGAATCAAGAAAAAAATTTTTAAACCAAGAAAATAATTTTGAAGTGTTTAATCAAAAAAAATTTTTTAGTTCAAAAACTTTTTTATTAAAATTAAGAAGATTTTATTTAAAATTGTTTACTTGATTCAATTTTTTATTTTTTTTTTTTTTTCAAATAACTTTGCAAACATTCTAAGTTTGAAAATGAAAAAAAAAATTTTTTTTAAGCCAAAAGAACATACTTTTTCAAAATTTAAGTGTATAATTTAAGTTTAACTTCAAAATTTAGTGATGTAAAGCCAAAATGACACAGAAAAAAAATTAAATTGAATCTAGAGAAAAACTCTTGAACCAAGAAAATAATTTTGAAAAATTTCACTGTCTTTAATCAAGATGAAAAATTCTTGAATCAAGTAAAATTTATTTAAATCAAAAAAAATTTTTGAGCTCATGAATTTTTTTACTCAAATCAAGAAAATGAAGTTCTTCAAAATTATTTACTTGTATAAATTTTTTATAGAAATTTCATTTTCTTATTAATCAATTGGGTACCTTCGAAATATTTTAAATATTCAAAAAAAATTTCATCTAAAAATTCAGACGGTAATAAGCAAATTTGACTTGCTCATCTCCTTGGATGAAAAATGACAGTAAAAAATTTTTTAGTCATTTTTAAAATGTTTTAAATTTAGTTTTTAAACTAAATTCAAAAAATAACCGGAGGTCATTTTTTTTTTTAGTTAGTCAATTGACGAGCATTTGACGAACACATGCTGTGCTTCACATCACTACCCTGAGTATTATTTTAACATGAAGGTAATCATTTCAAATCATCTTTTTGAATCAGGGCTAGCTTTATTTTTCGAGTTTTCTTTTCCACGTTTTATAATAAAAACATCTATTTTTTTTCTACACCCTTTTTGCTCTAAAATTTTTTTTTTTAAGACCAAAGAAGCCCATAGAGACTCTTCTTTTTAGCTTTAGTAATTAAAAAAAATTTTTTCCATTACTCTTAACATTTAAAATGTCAAAAAAAATTTTTTCCACCCTTATTAGCATTTGTCCCACGATATTTAGAAAAGTTACAATAAATGCAAATAAAAATTAAAATTCTTCCCTAAAAAAATCTATTTTAGCCCGAAAGTCTCTCAAAAATCTCTTCAAAAAATTGAGACACTAAAAATCCAAAAGCTCTATCAAACCAATGAATCTCTAAACTCGTCTAAAAAAAAGGGGCACGAGAGCAATAGCTCCCCAACAAAAAAAAAGTACTCGTCTTAATACCATAATGATGATTATACAAATGATTATCAAACCTAAATTTAAACATCGCGATGATCCCACTCTAACTCATTCGGCACATTGTGATGACGATGGTGCCGAGGATGGTTGATCTCACAATCATTTTCACAATCACTAGAATCTTCATGAAAAGAGTCTTCATCAGAATCCGACGACCCTGACTCATCATCTCCCTCATCCCTAGCATGATTATCATTCAAGCGATCCATCGGATTGACCGTGATCGCCAGCGCAGAATCATCCCAAGCCATTTCAGTTTCCGTGGTGAGTTCATCACCACCCACAACCCTTCTCTGCTTAGCAGCAGAAGCAGCGCCTCTGACCCTCGCGAACCCAATCACCACCATCAATAGCAAGAACCCAATGCACGCTGCAGCTACAATTGTGATCGCATGGCTGCTACCCGCCGCAGCAAGGCCCCGATTTTCATGGAGCTGGCTCACGGAATACTCGTCAGAAGTATCAGCGTGGTGACGAGACAGCTGGACGTGTCCAGCAATAGGTTCCAGGATTTTTACAATTGGCGGGATTTCTTGCGTTGGGTAAGACACTATTGGGGGTGTTGTGGGCTTTTCCTTAGGGTGGATCACTGCTAGGGTCTGGACGTACTCGTTGCTGGCGAACCGGCCGTTCAGCTCCGAGCAGGTTAGTTTGAATACCCGGTCTAGGTAGTAAGCAGGCTTGCGGTTGGTGTAAGTGATCAACCGGATCAATTGTTGGTACTTATACGGAGTGTCTGCTCCAGAAAGAACCACTCCGTCTCGGTCAATCCTGGATGTAATTGAATGGAACTGGTGCAGAGCATCAGTGGGCAGTCCTAAAGATTCATGGTCAGGATTTAAGCTTGGGTAGACACTAACAGCGCAAGCATCCAGCCTAGCTGCTGATCCAGCTGTTACTTTCGCGTCGGGGAACACTCTAACACCCAAACGGAAATCTGAGTACTCTCTCGCGACATATAAGGTACCATTGACTGTAATTCCAGGACGAGGAGGGGGCAGCACTGTAACGTAGGACTGAACCGGTCGGATTTCCAAGGGATGGGCCTCGGAGCCTTCGCAGACAATTGTGGTGTCAATTCTGAAGTTTCTACGACCGGGAGTAGGGAATCTGCGGGTATTTGTGTACCCTACGCGACGAAGAAGGGTTTCGACGTTAGTATGGTTGTCGCCGTCGATTCGGACCTCGGTCAAGTCCGAGTTGGTTCGCAATTGGGTGCCGGGTTGCAAGAGTTCCATTGACGGGATATGGATCCCTTCTTGACAGCGACGTAAACAGGTCAATACTTGGGGCTTTTCATTACGACCTACTAAGACTGACAGACCGGCGAGGTAGCCGCGGAAGTGGTGCTTTGTTTTGTTATCGGTTCCCTGCCAACATGCTCCGACTACTAGGGTGGTGTTGACACCTTTTGCGGGGTGTAATGGCCAGTCGTCGATTACTTCGGGGTTCTTTTCGTCAGATGTCCATTCTTCACCGTCGACGAATAAAGAGACGCGCGGGAAGTCTACTTGGACTGCGAAGTGGTGCCATCTGTCGTCGCAGACTTGGGGAAGCTTCCAGCGCCATTCGGCCGGGCGGAAGATGTTCGGGTCGCCTTCGGAAAAGTCGCGGCGGAGCAGGAGAATCAGGCGGCAGTTGCGGATGAAAAATGCGTAGTGGTGGCGGTTCATTTCTGGAAATAAAGAAAGGGTTAGTTTAGTAGGATTTTTTTTAATTGATAATTTGGGAATTTTAGTGAAAATTTGGAATTTATTTATTGGTATTTTTTTAAGTTTTTTGAATTGGAGAAAATTTAAAGATTTGGTTGAAATTATTTTATTTAAAGAAAAAATTGAAATATTAAGGTATTGACACTTGTAATTTTATTTTAATTTAAAAAAATAAATCAACTAATTAATTAATAAATACTAGTAATTTGGCAGTCACTACGTGACTGCTGTGACTTGTAAACTATAGATAAATAAAAATTAAATAATGATTTTTGTAAAATTGCAAAGTATTTTTTTTAACTATTGACGTTTTTAAAGATATAAGATCATTTTGATGTTACACTCATCAAGAGCTTTAATTTGAGTACCCTCATGCATTTTTGATATATTTTTTATATATACATATATGTGATATGTATAAATATATGAAAAATTGATGTGGATATTCAAATGAAAGGCCTTGAAGAGTGTAACATCGGGATGAGCTTATATCTTTAAAAATGTCAATAATCAACAAATGACCTTGTATTTTGAGAATTATTGACATTTTTAAAGATATAAGCTCATTCCGATGTTACACTCATCGAGACCTTAAATTTGAGTACCAACATCAATTTTATCATATATTTATATATATTATATATATGTATATATAAAAAATTTATCAAAATGCATGTGGGTACTCAAATGAAAGGTCTCAATGAGTGTAATGTTGGGGTGAGCTTATATCATTGAAAATCTCAATAGTTCACGAGAAACAAGGTCATTTCTTAATTATTGACATTTGTAAAGATATAACCTCATTCTGATGTGACACTCATCAGGAGGTTTCATTTGAATACCCACATGTATTTTTGATATATTTTTCATATTTACATGGTATATAATATATAAATATATGAAAAATTGATGTGGGTACTCAAATGAAAGGTCTTGATGAGTGTAATGTTAGAGTGAGCTTATATCTTTAAAAATATCAATAGTTCACGAGACACAAGGTCATTTCTTAATTTATGCATCTAGAGATAGAACATTTTTGAATCCAGCCTAAATACTTATCATCATAAATTTACTATTGATGAGAATGATATGAAATCTTGAAAAGGCACAACTCCAAGTCAAGACCTTTCTAATGATATTAAATTTCTCTTAATAATATAGATAATTTTTGAATTATAAATTTCAAGAAAATTGGTTTTTTGAGAACATTTTATTTTTTTTAATTAGAATAAAATTGCAAATGTCAAACACCTAGGTCAGTGTCAATAACTGGGTCTTTTACCTTAGTTTAAAGAAAAAATTTTCGTTTTAAATGTTTTTCAAGTAAAAATAAAATTTTCAATTTTAGTTTTCATTTAGAAAAAGAAATTTTGAGAAAAAAAATGTAGTTTGAAACTAAAAAAAAAATTTTTAAACTAAAATTCAATTTTTTTTTAATAAAATTTGTTTGAAAAAAATTTTGAATATGAGCTTTATTTTTAAATAAAATTGAATCTTAACTTTTTTAGAAAAAAAAGGTTGAATAAAAACTTTGAAAAAAACAAAAATTTAATTTGAAACAAAATAAAAAATTAAATTAAAGCTTTACTTTTAAATAAAATAAAATTTTAATCTGAAATTTTGTTAAGAACAAAAAAGCTTGAAATTCAAATTTTGTATAAACAAAAAAAATTTGTCTTAAAATAAAGATTGTTATAAAAAACTAGATTTCTAAAAATAAAAAAATAAAAATTCCATTAATTTATAATAAAATTCTTTTTATAAAAGAAAAAAATAAAGAAAAGCTTTTGAATAGTTGACGAAGAATTTCTAATTACTTTTTATATGATGTTTAAAATTCATTAACCTAATCGCAACTCGGTACTTGGGTAATAAAGTTATTCATGTTTGAGTTAAAAATTTTTTTAAAAGCTTCTCATAACGTTGTTAAGTTTGAATTATTTTATTTTATAATTTATTTAGAAGAGAACGTAAAGAGAACGTCAACTAAGATGTAGTGAACTTTTGTTAACTTAAATATGTTGGTCTTTTTTTTTTTTTAACTTTTGCTTATATTAAGAAATTTAAATTAGTTTTCAGTCGCGATGAGAAATTTTATCCCAACAAAAGAAAAAAATCAATTTACAAAATAATCAAGAATGTTTGTTTAATTTAGTGTTCAAAGTTTGTTACGCTGAAACCTTAAAATTTGTTTTATAAATAAAAAAAAAATCATTCCAAACTGTAGAAAATAATAATATAAATTTCAGTTTTAATTAAAAGTTAAAATAAAATTTTTTTAACATCATAAGTCAGGATAAAAAAATAAAAAAAATTCTTAAAATACAGAAATGTATTTTTTTAGACAACATAAGTTTACTTTGATTCACGTCGGCTTCTTTATTAGTTTTCGAAAAAATAAAGATTAAACATACTGGGGACAGCAAAGCTTAGTCATCGAATCGATAATCGCGCTCACTTTCGGTACACTTCGCTCGTAAACTAATAAAGCCCGACTTCTTGCTCAAAAAAATAGTACAGACTCTTGTGACACGATAAATTTAATTAAATTTATCCTTTTTTGATTTTCTTTTCCTCAAAATTAAATTCTTGTGAAAGCCACCGGATATATTAAGTATAAATTGACTTTATATTTATTAAAAACTCTAAAAAAAACTCTGAAATCTCAACTGAGTACACTTATAAAATCATTTTTGTTAGTACTTGATAAGATAAATGATTTTTTATTATTAAATTATTTAATAAAAAAATTTTGTATTTTTTTTTCAATAATAAAAAAACTTTTTCAACAGTTATAATTGTAAAGAAATTTTTTTTAGATTCTTGAATAAAAAATAAGTAGAAAAATTAAATTTTGATTTTTTATAGCTTCAAAATTTAAATAGATAATTTTATTAGATTAAAATCATTATTTATTTTCTAATAAAAAAATGTAAAAAAAAAAATTGTTATAATAAGTTATAGTTTTTTTTTAGCAGTAAAAATAAATATTATATTTTATCTTCGTTGTAAAAAATTCTAGAATTATTTTTTTTATTTATGATCATGATATTTTTCTGTCAAGGAGAAATATTCACTTCGACAAAATGAATTGTTAACGTAAAGTATCCAGTACAAAAATAAATAAATTTGTTGTTAATTAGTTATTCTTCTATATTATAAGATAAATTTTACTATAGTATTTCAGTCACATATTTATAGCTTATTCCAGATTATAGTGAGTTAAAAACAATTTCAGATTATAGCTAGTATAATCAAGATTACGATGAGTATAATCCAGATTTCACGCAGTATAATCTGGATTTTTTTTTTTTATCTAATATCTGAAATTTTATTCACCACAGATATCACTAAGTATAATCTAGGATGATATCTAGTGTCATCTTGTTCTTTCCGTGTAGAAACTTTAAAAAATAAAAAATGCAATTTTGTACAAATAATTTTTTGGAACATTTTTTTTTGTTAAATAAAATTAAAAAATTTTAAAGTGACTGCTGACTCTAATGATGAAAATGAATTTAGCAGACATTTAATAGTTTTTTAAAATTTTGTAAAAATAAATTATTGTCATATTGTTAATAACAATGTGTTTTTTTTTTGTTAAGTTTGCCTGATGAAGTTGTGAAATACAACGAAACGTTGCAACATTTAAAAATCTAACACTGAGTTATTTTTATGGTCCAAGTTCCTGATAAGTTTCATTATTATATTTGTAAATCATGGATGATAACAGAAGTCATAAAATAAATTATGACTAAAAAAAATTATTAAAAAAATTGACATGTAAAAATTAAAAAAAATAATTTTATTTTGAGATTAAATAAGGAGAAATTTTTTTTTAATTAAAAATAAATTTTTTAAAAATAATTCTTCGGAAAAAATTTTTTTATTAAATAAAATTAAAAAATTGTCAAATGACGGCTAACTTTAATATCATAAAAAAAACTCACTGTGATCGTCGGCAGCACACAAAATATGTTCCTTAACATGAGGATCCTGCCTGGGCCTGGGTCGGTGTTTGATCCAGACTCCAATAGTGAATTTCTGAGCCAAAGCATGGTCCAGGATATCAGCAGGGATAATAGCAGCAGAATTGCTACCATCAAACTCAAAGATCTCATCAGCTTCGCGGCCCTCGTCCCTAGACAAGCTCGCAGTCCAGGTGGTAGTAGGTCCAGGAGTCGGGAGCAAGTCAACACTGTCGCGAGAGGCTCCGCACAACTTCCTCTGGCTTTTGACGCCGTAAGTGTCGCGGTCGCAGCCTTTGCCGATGTGGTCAGTCGCCAAAGTCAAGGTGGTCCTCAAGTTTCTCAATAAACAAGGCGCGTCGCATAATTCCAGACGAGCAGAAGGAATCAGTGGCTGAGGTCCAACTCCAGCTGCGTAATCGACTCGCTCGGGGATTCCCCGCCATCCTGGAGAGCACACGCGGTTTACTTTAACGGTGACCATCGCCGGGGCGGATTGTTTCATTCCGCAGTCATAAGCGACCACGCTCAAGATGTAATTGTGCGAGCGCTCGTAGTCCAGCGGTTCGGTGTTCCTGATCGCGCCTTCATTGTCAATCACGAACGGCTGGTCTGCGGTCAGTATTTCGTACTTGCAGACGTCCCCGAATTTAGGAGTGCAGTCACGGTCTGAAGCTTCTACTCTCACCACTTCCTCGTACAGACGGCCCTCGTCCACGGTGCTCACGTACGCTGGTTGCAGAAACTGGGGCGCGTATTCGTTTACATCAATCACTGTTATGTGAACAGTTGCGCTGGAAAATAAATTTATTTATCTATTATATCAGATAGGATTACTTTTTTTTATTTTTTTTTTTAGTTAGAGGATTACGTGATATTGACATGAGATTTTTAATTTATTTAAGGTAATTGAGTGGAATTTTTAATAAAATTTGACAATTATAAATTTTATTTTGTTAAATAAATTAATCAATAACAACTAGTAACCCTGCAGTCACTAAGTGACTGCCGTAGTGAGCTATAAGTAAATAAAATTTTGCTTTAATAAATAGTGGCTTTTGTTAAATTGTACTGTACTTTCTTAACTATTGACGTTTTTTAATATATAAACTCACATCGGTGTTACACTCATCAAGAGCTTTCATTTGAGTACCCACATGCATTTATGATATATTTTTCATATATACATATATATAATATATATAAATATATAAAATATATGAAAAACTGATGTGGGTATTCAAATGAAAGCTCTTGATGAGTGTAACATCGGGATGAGTTTATATATTTGAAAATGTCAATATTTCACAAGATATTTGTTAAAATGTCCTGTATTTTCTTAACTATTGACATTTTTAAAGATATTAGCTCATCCTGATGTTACACTCATCAAGAGCTTTCATTTGAGTACCCACATGCATTTTGATATTTTTCATATATACATATATATTTTCATATATATAATATATATAAAATATATAAAAAATTGATGTAGGTATTCAAATGAAAGGTCTCGATGAGTGTAATGTCGAGATGAGCTTATTTCTTTAAAAATGTCAATATTTCACAAAATATTTGTTTAAATGTCCTGTACTATCTTAACTATTGACCTTTTTAAAGACATAAGCTCATCCCGATGTTACACTCATCGAGACCTTTCATATGAATACCCACATGACATTTTTTATATATTTTATATATTTGATATTTGTGAAATATATATAATATATATAAATATATGAAAAATTGATGTGGACACTTAAATGAAAAGTCTTGATGAGTGTAACATCAGGATGAGCTTATATCTTTAAAAATGTCTATAGATTTTAAGATACAAGGTCATTTCTCAATTATGTATCTAGAAATAGAGAATTTTCGAATGCAGTCTAAATACTTATTATCATAAATTGACTATCGGTGAGAATAATTTGATAATATGAAATCTTAAAAAAGCATAAATATAAATCAAGACCTTTGCAATGACATTAAATTTCACTCAAAAAAACTAAAAATAAAGAAAATTTTTTTTATTAATGGAAATATAGAAAAAGCTGGAAGCTTACTCTCCCGTAATTACTAAAAAAAAACTTATAAAAAATGCAACGTCACTTGTTGACACTACATTTTAGTATATTAAACTTAGTAGGGGGGATTTTGGCTATGAAGAGGTTGGCGTAACGAGCAGAGAGTGTGTTTTAACACACAAGCGATAAAAATCTTATCTACTCAATTTACACATTATTATTATTATTATTTCTTTATACATAAATAAAAATTAGTAGGAGCACAATTTTTGTTGCAATATTTAAAATAACTGGTTTAAATTTTTAATATTACAATAAAAATATTAATCCTAGAAAAAAATATTTTAAATAAAAGTTCAAAATTTAATTTTGAAAAAAAAAAAATGTTTCTTATGATTTTATTTAAAAACTAATATTTTTAATGTAATTTCAAAAATAAGATTCATAATTATCAAAAAATTTGAACCGTTAATTATAAATCTTAATTTTGGAACCATATTTTTGTTTAAAAAATCTTTTGTAGGACTAATATTTTCGCCGTATTATCAAAAATTTTAATCGTTCATTACAAATCATTTTTTTTAATTTGCAGCAAAAATCTTGGCGCTAAAAATTGCCAGTAAATATCAGTCTTATTTCCTAATTAGCTAGTTATTTTTTTATTTATTAGTAAATTAAAGAACCAATAAAACATACTTTTCAGATTGTAATCCATTGCAGGCAACAGCGGCGATGTCGAATTTGTAATTGCGGCGCTTCTCGCAATTTAACGAACGTAAAGCACGTAATACTGCTATTCCTTTTTCTTTAACAATAATTTCGAAGGGCGCATCCCCGTGATGTTTGTTGGCGATCTTGTATGAGCAAATTTTCGCACCCACGGCACGTATCTGAGGTGTTACTTCGACCCGAGTTTCGTTTTCCTTAACGAGTCCATGATAACCGTTCTCCCCGCTCTCCAGGTCCAAGTGTGGCACTATAAGAAAAATATTGTAATTATTATTATCATCATTGTAATTATTATCACCTGTGTTTACTAAAATATAATAAGGGTGCAGAATCGATTGTTTCCTAAAAATTGTAAGGATTCAGTGGATTAAAACTTCTGCGGTAATTAAAAGTTTACTTTTATGGATTTAATGTTCAAGTTTCATGGGTAATAAAAACTGTTTACTAATGTTATATTTTTTAAAAGATTGACATTAATTTTTACTTTATATATTGGTTGTAAAAAATTTTGGAGAAGAATTTTAAGTAAATTTTCTCTATAAAATTTTTATTATCTTATTAATAAAATTTACTAGCAACCTTAGTCACTATGTGACAACCGTGACTTGTGAACTATAAATAAATAAAATTTTGCTTTTTTAAATAAAGACTCTAGTTAAATTGCACTGTACTTTCTTAAATATTTACGTTTTTAAAGATATAAGCTCATCCCGATATCACACTCATCAAGAGCTTTCATTTGAGTACCCACATGCATTTTTGATATATTTTTCATATATATATATATATATATATAGAATATATGAAAAATTGATGTGGGTACTCGAATGAAAGGTCTCGATGAGTGTAATGTCGAGGTGAGCTTATATTTTTAAAAATGTCAGTAGTTAACAAAAGATACAAGGTCATTTGTTAATTATTGATATTTTAAAAGATATAAGCTCATCTTGATGTTCCACTCATTAAGAGCTTTTATTTGAGTACCCACATGCATTTTGATATATTTTTCATATATACATATATATAAATATACAAAATATATGAAAATGCATGTGGGTACTCAAATGAAAGGTCTTGATGAGTGTAACATCGGGATGAGCTTATATCTCTAAAAATGTCAATAGTTCACAAGATACAAGATCATTTCTTTATTATTGACATTTTCAAAGATATAAGCTCATCCCGATGTTACACTTATCAAGACCTTTTATTTGAATACCTACATGGCATTTTTTATATATTTTATATATTTACATACATATATATAAATATATAAAATATATGAAAAATTGATGTGGGTACACTCAAATGAAAGGTCTTCATGAGTGTAACATCGGGATGAGCTTATATCTCTAAAAATGTCAATAGTTCTCAAGATACAAGATCATTTCTTAATTATGTATCTAGAGATATTTTCGAATGCAGTCTAAATACTTATAATGAATTGACTATTGGTAAGAATGAAATTAAACCTTGAAAAGGCTTAAATTCAAGTCAAGACCTTTGCAATGACACTAAATTTCTCTAAAAAACCCGATTTCATCATATGACTACCCGAGAATCAAAATTTTTTTTTTTCTCTTAATAATATAGATTACTTTAATTTAATTAAAATTTCTTACAAACTCCAAAAAATTTTTTTTTTTAATTTTATGTTTAATATTAATCTAATAAAAATCCTATAAAAATCAAGTTTAAAATACTATTTTTATTAGAGTAGATAAAAATTTTTTTTCCTCTAAAACTCTCATTAATAATTCAATCCTCTTTTTTATTCAAAGTATCCGAGATTAAGTATGATTTAAAGTTTTGTTTATTTAAAATTTGATTTATCTCCGCTAAAACTTTCAAATCACCGGATAGAAATTTAAAAAAAGTAAATAAAAATATTTTCGTAAAAGTTAAAGACCTCTTTTAATTCGTAGAATGTTAATTTTAAACTAAATATAAAAAAAGAGTCTGTATTTTTTAGAACAGTGACAAATCCAACAAAATTCTTTAAATAACTCATCTCCCATCATGTCATTTTATAATCATACTAAATATAAAACCCTATCATCACTTTATATTAACTATCATTATCATTATTATTTAAATTCGTCCATATGTGCAGTAAGTGAAATGCAAATGAAATACCAAACTTGGGTATACATTGTGCAATATAAGGCATATTAATTGAATCTTGACTTGTTTGACAACTAATTAATGCACGAATATAAAATCAATTATTTCCAACCAGAATTATTGATTTAAAATTTTTATAATAAAATTTTTTCCTTTTTTTTTTTTTAAAACAATAAATCTAAATTGTAAGATATTGATTGGTGAAATTTTTTTAGTGGATCGCCATAACAGGTAACAGCTAAAAAAACTCAAGCATTTTTTTTTAACAAAACGCTTTAGCGTGGAGTTAAAATAAAAAAATAATATTAAAAAATAAAAAGTACCTTCTCGATCATTAAATGAGGTCGGAATCGACCAGGGCTCTGGAGGAGATCCATGTGAAAATCCAAATAGCAATAGCATAAACACACCACTTAACACAAACATGTCTCTGGTCGTTTATTGCCACTTAAATAATTTTTTTTAAACTCAATTATTGTCCGAGAAGTTAAAAAAAAATTATTAATTGTTCGGGTTGTTTTTTGGAGCTAAAAAAAATAGTAAATTTATAAATTACAACACATACTCGTACCAAGTTACTACAAACGTTTTTTAGTTTACTTGCTCTCGTTTCTCTTCACTTCTTTATAACTTTATACGTCTGGTCTTGTACTATGGTTTGTCTGCGACAGCAATCGCCAAGTCAATATTTTAGAGAATATCGATTTGACGGAAACCTCATTCGGATTTTCACCTGAAGACGGCGCAAAATGGACACCTGCGCCATCTTGTGAGTGACATTGCAGATTATGACAGGTATGCGCTCCGTTTGTATTAAATTTCTGAAAAAGAATAAAAAATATTAATGTAAGTAGATAATTAATTTTACAAATATTTACTTGTTATTAATTATTGATTATTTAATGCTTTTGTTGCAGGTAAAAAGTTATTGTAATGACAGATATTAAGTACATAAAGTTTAAGTACCTTAATGGCTCTGGGGTTAGTATAATGCCAGTGACCCTATTCAATAGACAATAGGGTCTTTGTCTCTAATTTATGACCGGGATGTTTGGGATTAGAATGCGCTGTAATTTTAGGAACAATGAAATGTGCAGAGTTGTCATTAGGATTAAATAGAATTATTTTTATACATAAGTATTTTATTTGAAAAATTTATGGTCAGAAAATAAATTAAAAAACATAAATTGTCATGAAAATTAAGTTAGCCGACATTGAAAAATTATTAGAATTTTTTTTAATGAAAAAATGATTATGAAAAAATTAAAAATAAATTTTCACTTGTAAGAAATTTGAAAAACTATAAGTGTAATTTTTTAGAAATATTTTTTTGTTCTAATTTAATAAATGAAGCAAAATCAAAAAATTAAAAATATCGGCTAACTTTAATAATAATAAATTTTGATTTTTTTATTTTGCTTAATTTATTCAATTATAACTAAAAAATATTTTTAAAAAAATTGCACTTATAGTTTTTAGTTTTTTACAAATGATAATTTTTTTTTTTATTTTTCTGTAATGATTTTTTCAATTAAAAAAAATTCTAAAAATTTTTACTTGTCGGCTAACTTTTTTTTTAATTGAAAAAATCATTACAGAAAAATAAAAAAAAAATTATCATTTGTAAAAAACTTTAAAAACTATAAGTGCAATTTTTTAAAAATATTTTTTTGTTCTAATTTAATATTAGAAAAAAAAACTAAAAATGTCGGCTAACTTTAGTATTATTAAATTGTCTTATAATTGAAGTTAGACATTAAAAGTTATTTTAGAATTTTATAATAATTAAAATACTATTTAAAAAATTCAATTAAAAAATTTCACATGTGCAAATTAATAAAAATGACAAGTGAAAATTTTTAGAAGCATTTTTTTATTGTAATTGATTTGTTATTAAAATTTTTAAAATTGACAGCTGACGGCTAACTTCAGTATTATAAATTGCCAGACAATTGTTTTAAAAAAATTCTAGGCGAATTTATTTGGATTTTTTTTAAAAGAAAATTTATTAAGCAAGATTTTTATTTAATTTTAATTAAAATGAGTAGTTTTTATTTTTTATTTAAGAAATTATTGATTAAAGAATTTTTTTTATTAAACAAAATTTTATTATTCTAATTTAAAGCTTGTGCGCATGCGCGGACTCCGCGCATGCGCAGACGCGCTAAAGTCATACGACGCAAAAGCAGAAGCGGAGAGACGGTGAGGTGCCCGCTTTGTCGACAAACGGTCATATACCTGCAGCCATGACGCGTCGGGTAGGTTCTAGAACGTTGTTTGAAGGTTTGTATAGTATTTTTTGGTAATTAATTGTATTTAATGATGATTTTTTAAGAAATTGAGGGATTTTTATTATTTTTATTATTAGTTAGGGATTTTTTAAAAATTTTCAGCGGATAAATGAGGAATAGAGTAAATTATCGAAATGGCGGGAATGAGCTTAGTATTGTATGTATTTGCAAGCAATGACAAGTAATTCGGATTTAATGTGATGATCTTTAAAATATTAGGCATCAAATTAGTATTTAATTTTCGATTATTAAACAAAAATAGAAAACTGAATAAATAAAATAGTAATTTTTTTTTTATTTTAATAGTTAAATAAGACTAACAATGTCTGCCATTTTGATTTTGTCGTGGAATTAAAAAAAAAGTTTATGATTTTGATTATTAAATAATTAAATAATTAAAAAAATAATAAAATTTAGATTTTATAAATTAGTTAAATTTTTAAAACTCATTTTTTTTTTTAATTTATTTAATTCGTTGCATTATTTATTTTGAAATTTTAGTTTTTCATTTTAATACTGAAGTTAGCCGATATTTTTAATTTTTTTTTTCAATAATTAAATTAGAACAAAAAAATATTTTTTTAAAATTGCACTTACAGTTTTTCAAGTTTTTGACCAATAAATTTTTTTTTTAATTTTTTTGTCATAATTTTTTTAATGAAAAAAAAATAATTATTATTTTCAGATGTCGGCTAAGTTAATTTTCATTTTTCATTGACAATTTTTCTTTTATAAAAATAGTTGTAAATTCATTCTTGAATTTTTAATAATTAATAGATAAATTCATTAACTAATAAAATATTTTTTCGTCTTAAATTAAATAGTCAATAATTAAATAAAATCATACTCAATTTATTAATAATTAAAATTAATTGGTTGCTGATACATAAGTGAGTCTTTTTTTAAATACGATCGGTTGTTAAATGTTAGTGATAAGTGATGTCTTTAGTTTTAAAAGTAAGTCAGTTATTATGTGTAAGTGATAAATGATGTGTTCAGTTTTTAAAGTAAATAAAATAAAAGTAAATAAAGTGTTTTTAATTGTGAAGTGTCTAAGTACAAGTAGTGAGTTCTGTGAGTGAGTGAGTGTCTTTGGTGATTGAGTTCCATGTTTGCTGTTGAATCCTGAGGGCATCATGTTTGTTGCTGTCTGCTGTCAAGGTATTTTACTAAATTCAGTACTTAAAAAAATTTTTATCCATAATTCAAATTAATTTTTTACATTAATTTTTTTAATTGTTCTAGGTAAGATCACAAATTTTCCTAATATTGCTGCTCACATCATTTTTACATCTTGAAATATATTCCAGGTATTTAATTTTTATTATTATTTTTATTTGTAAAATAATTAGATGTCTGTTACAAAAAATGAGAAAATTTCATGAAAATTAATTTAGCAGATTTTGGATAATTTTAACAATTTTTTTAAGAAATAAATTATTGCAAAAAAAAATTGACAATTTTGGAACAAATTTGTTTGTTAAAAAAAATAAAAAAAAGATCCAGGAACTGCTAACTTTAATGTCATAAAAAGTTTTGATAATTTTTAGTGAATTTTTTTATATAAATTAATTTTTTATATTAAAATTATCGGATATTAGATTTAGATAATTACAATAATTTTTAATAACAAAATTTTTAATTTTTAAAAATGCCGCCATAACAACAAGCGCCACTTGGCGCCAAAATTTAAATTTGATAATTACCATGTTGCTTTATAAATCACAAGTCATTGATTTTTTTGTTATCAATGTCAATGAATAAAATTTTAATAGAAAAAAAAAATATTTATAAATAAGTAGAATATTTTTATAAATTTCAAAGTTAATAATTAAGTATTCAAAAAATAGAAATAGACTTTAGCGCTACCATTACAGTCGGAAGTACTGAATTTTACTTTACCGATTGTGCAACTGCAATGAGTGTAGTACAAGTAGTACATAAATACTCGTTACACGTCCGTGACTCCGTGTGCTAGCATTATAGACACAACGCAACGTTTGAAACGTTTATAGTGATTATAGTGAAATAGTGTGATTAAAAAATAAATAATAAGTTATTTTTATAAAAACTATCACATTATATTTTTAATAAAATATCAAGACTAAAATCCGTAAATATTTTTAATATAAATATTTATAAGTTGAATAATATTAATTTTGAGGTTACGCCGGTAGTTAAAATTTTAAAGCTAGTTTGATAAATAATAATAAATAATTTACAAGTTAAATAATATTAATTTTGAGGTTACACCGGTATTCAAAATTTTAAAGCTAGTTTGATAAATAATAATAAATAATTGTAATTTAAATTAATTTAAAAAAAAAATTGTAGAAAAATGGACGCTGATTTATATGATGAATTCGGAAATTACATCGGTCCGGATCTTGCCTCAGAAAGTGAAGAAGAGAATGAATATGACCACGCCGGCGATGAAACAGAGGACAAGGATCGTTCCGATGAGGAAATGGACGAGGATAAGGACGAGCCTAGAGATGTTATAGATCAGTCCTTACAAGTTGTTCTACATGAGGATAAAAGGTACTATCCTAGTGCCATGGAAGTTTACGGTCCTGATGTAAGTTAATGTTTTTTATTTTATAATATTTATATCAGTTGATAAATAATAATTTTTAGAATTTTTTTTACGAATAAATATTTATAAATTTAATTTTTAATAACTTGCAAAAAAAAGGATACAATTTTTTTTTATAATTATTTATTTGCTAAAAATGATTTTAATAATTTACAATTTGTTTTATTTAAGCAATTAAATAATTACAAAGAAAATATTTATAATAATTTCATCAAGTTTTAAAAACAAAATTTTCTTGATAATTATTTTATAAAAAAATCTCTGAAAATTCTCAGCTGTTAGCTGATTTCAAAGCTATTTTTTATTTTTTAAAAAGAATAAATTTCAATTGAAAAAATATTCTAGAAATTTGTTAAATTGTACTGTACTTTCTTAACTATTGACGTTTTTAAAGATATAAGCTCATCCCAATGTTACACTCATCGATACCTTTTATTTGAGTATCCACATCAATTTTTCATATATTTATATATATTATATATATCTATATATGAAAAATATATCTAAAATACAAGTGGGTACTCAAATCCAAGCTTTTGATGAGTGTAGCATCAGGATGAGCTTATATCTTAAAAATATACATTATATATATGAATATATGAAAAATATATCAAAGTTTAACATGTTATTAAATTTAAAAGGAAATTTATAAGAAAAAAATTTCATTTTTTCATTCAAAAAATTTTTTTGCCATATATTCGTTATAAAATTATAAAAAATTATTAAATATATTCTAAATTAATTTCAAGTAATTAAAAAATGACCATGTATCTTGTGAACTATTGACATTTTTAAAGATATAAGCTCATCTTGATGTTACACTCATCGAGACCTTTCATTTGAGTACCCACATCAACTTTTCATATATTTTATATATTTATATATATTATAAATATGTATATATCAAAAATATATCAAAAATGTATGTGGGTACTCAAATGAAAGCTCTTGATGAGCGTAACCTCAGGATGAGCTTATATTTTTAAAAATTTTAATACTTAAAAAAGTATAGTACAATTCAACAAAAGTCCTTATTTAATAGTGCAAAATTTCATTTATAGTTCATATAGTGACTACAGGGTTGCTAGTTTACTGAAAAAAAAATCAAAATTTTCTTAATTAAAATAATATACTAATAATTTCAAAATAAAAATTCCAGGTAGAAACACTAGTCCAAGAAGAAGACGCTCAACCCCTAGACAAGCCTCTAATAGCCCCAACCCGTCGTGCAAAATTCCAAATAAAACAACAAGACCTCCCCGACACAACCTACAACATCGAGTTCTTAGCCGACATGATGGACACTCCAGCACTAATCCGCAACATAGTCCTCCTGGGCCACCTCCACCACGGAAAAACAACCCTAGTCGACTGCCTAGTCCGTCAAACTCACCCATACATGCACAACGTCACCGACGAGAAGCCTCTCCGCTACACAGACACACTCTTCACCGAGCAACAACGAGGAGTATCAACAAAATCCACTCCAGTGACTTTACTCCTCCAAGACGTCAAGTCCAAGTCCTACTTAATGAACATCTTCGACACCCCAGGCCACGTGAATTTCTCCGACGAAGCTACAGCAGCAATCCGTCTCTCCGACGGCGCAGTCCTAGTAGTCGACGCCGCAGAAGGAGTCATGCTCAACACCGAGCGTCTTCTAAAGCACGCGATTCAAGAGAAGCTCGCTCTTACTGTCTGTATCAACAAAATCGACAGATTAGTCTTAGAACTTAAACTTCCTCCCTTAGACGCTTATTACAAACTTCGTCATATTATTGAAGAAGTAAACAGTTTAATTGCTCTGTACTCAGATTCAGAAAATCCGAGTTTTGTTTCTCCAGCTCTAGGGAACGTTTGCTTTGCAAGTTCAGAGTATAATGTCTGTTTTACTTTAAAATCCTTCGTTGCTTTATATCAACGGACTCATGAGTCCTTAAATGTTGAAGAATTCGCTAAAAGGCTCTGGGGAGATGTTTATTTTAATTCCAAGACCAGGAAATTTACCAAAAAGCCGCCACATAATACAGCTCAGCGGAGTTTCATAGAATTTATTTTAGAACCTTTGTACAAAATATTTGCGCAAGTTGTTGGAGATGTTGATTCAACTCTTCCAGATGTTCTTGATGAATTGGGGATCAGATTGACTTCAGAAGAAATGAAGATGAACATCAGACCGCTGTTGAGGCTGGTGTGCACTAGATTCCTCGGAGATTTATCAGGAATCGTTGATATGTGCGTAACACACGTCCCAAGTCCGCAAGATCACGCTTCTACAAAGATCCAGCATATTTATACGGGACCAATTGACACTCCTCTGGCGCAAGATATGGTAAATTGCAACCCAGATGGAAGATTGATGATCCACAGTACTAAAATGTACCCCACTGAAGATTGCACGCTCTTCCATGTCCTGGGCAGAGTTATGTCCGGGACTTTGGAAGCTGGGCAGAAGGTTAGGGTGCTAGGAGAAGCTTATTCGAGGGCTGATGAAGAAGACTCGAGAGTTCTGAGCGTTGGAAGGCTCTGGATAAGCGAGGCGAGGTATCAGATTGAATTAAATCGCGTTCCTGCGGGTAATTGGGTTTTAATTGAAGGTATTGACAGGTCGATTGTTAAAACAAGCACGATAACCGATCTCATTAATTCTGATGATCTTCATATATTTAGACCGCTTAAATTTAATACTCAGAGTGTGATTAAGATTGCGGTTGAGCCAGTTAATCCCTCGGAATTGCCAAAGATGTTGGATGGACTGAGGAAGGTTAATAAAAGCTATCCTCTTCTGGGGACCAGGGTAGAGGAAAGTGGAGAACATGTTGTTCTGGGGACTGGAGAGCTTTATTTGGATTGCGCTATGCATGACTTGAGGAGGATGTACTCGGAAATTGATATCAAAGTCGCGGATCCTGTGGTTTCTTTTGCGGAAACTGTTGTGGAGACTAGCTCGCTTAAGTGCTTTGCCGAGACGCCGAATAAGAGGAACAAGTTGACTATGATTGCTGAACCGCTTGAGAGGGGCTTGGCTGAGGATATCGAGGCGGAGCATGTCAAGATTACTTGGAATAAGTGAGTTTTTTGAGGTTTTTTTTACGGGGGGTAATTAAAAAAATTACAGGATTGGGAAATATTTTTATTAAGGTTTTGATTAATTGAGTTATTTTGTCGAGGTGGATTCTTTGGAGATTGAAAATATTTTTTTTATTAAATTTGCAAAGAGAATTTAAAAATTTTTTAGAGAAAAAAATTAATTTTGAAAAATTTTTTTTTAAAAAAATTTTTTCGTGTAATTAATTAAGTACGCATAAAGAGTAAAAATTTTTTAAAACTTTTAAAGTACAGTACTTAAAATGTTTCATCTTGATTTGTCAATATTAAGGGGGTATTCCGGTGTAGAAGCTTGAATTTAAGGTAATTTTTAAACTATCGTAAAAAAAATCAATATTTTTACTATTCATTTTTTTATAAGATATTTATTAATATTTCCAGAATACATTAAAAAAATTCAAAAAGTTAGCAGCTAATATAGTGGGGGGTTTCAAAAAATTGGCACAAAAAAAAATGGAATAAAACAGATTATTAATTTAGAGTAAGGTAAAAGACCCAGTTGTTGACACTTGTAATTTTTTTTTTCATTAAAAAAAAAAATAAACTAATGAATTTAATTTTTAAATTATAAATTTTAAGATAATTGATTTTTTAAGATTTTATTTTTTTTTAATTAAAATAAAATTGCAAGTGTCAAACAACTAGGCCAGTGTCAATAACTGGGTCTTTTACCGTAATGCCACTATTGTACTATCTAAAAAAATGTTTTTCACAAAATGGTAACTGTCTGAAAAAAAATTAATTTTTGTGCCACTTTTTTCGAGTTTTCCGAATTTTTTAAAAATAGTAAATATTGAAATTTGGGGATGAGGATAGTTCATGCGATAGAGAAGTTTATACAGAAGACTTACACCAAATTTCAAGAAATTCGGTTGATTAGAATTTGATAAATCGTGGGTATCGTTTTAAAAAAGACAGTTTTAAGAAAAATATTTTTTTTAATTGAATATTGATTAATAATTTTTTCTAGAAGGATAAAACTGATGATTTTAATGAAAAAATTAATTATTTAAAAAATAATAACATTGTTAGTGGTGAAATATTTATTTTTACCAAAAGTGCTCTTAAAATTTATGTTAATAATTTTTTGAACAATTTTAAATTGATTAAAAATTTTTTATTAATTTGAAAAAAAATTAAGAATTAAAAAAATTACATTTTTGGTTACTATTGGGCTAAAAATTGCGTCAGCAATTAAAATCTGAAAAATATATAATTACTACTGTACTTTTAATTTAGAAATATTTATACAGTATCTGAAGAAAGTTTTAAAAAATTTTTACCGACTTTTATAACAAAAAATTTCGACTTTAATTTCTACAAAATACTTAGACTGACTAAAAAATATTAAAAATTCAATTTTTAACATTCTGAACTTCTAAAAATCTAAAAAATTTTTTATCCTGATCTTTGTAGATTATTTTTAAAACATATTTTCATAGTAATAAATTTTTCCCTCTATGATTAAATCCCACACTAATTATCATAATAAATTACAGGAAACGCCTGGGAGAATTTTTTCAAACAAAATACGACTGGGATTTGCTAGCAGCTCGTTCAATCTGGGCGTTCGGCCCAGACGCCACCGGCCCCAACATATTGGTAGACGACACCTTGCCATCCGAAGTCGACAAGACGTTACTCAGCAGCGCGAGAGATGCTATTGTCCAAGGGTTCCAGTGGGGAACTCGCGAAGGACCATTATGTGAGGAACCGATCAGAAACGTGAAGTTCAAAATCCTGGACGCGGTAATCGCGCAAGAGCCATTGCACCGAGGAGGTGGTCAAATAATTCCAACTGCCAGAAGAGTCGCATATTCCGCGTTTTTAATGGCGACTCCTCGTCTCATGGAGCCTTACTTGTTCGTCGAGGTCCAAGCTCCAGCAGATTGTGTCTCTGCAGTCTACACAGTTCTAGCCAAGCGCCGAGGTCACGTTACTCAGGACGCTCCAGTTCCTGGAAGCCCTTTGTACACCATCAAGGCTTTTATTCCTGCTATTGACAGCTTTGGCTTCGAGACTGACTTGAGAACGCACACTCAAGGGCAAGCTTTCTGTCTGTCAGTTTTTCATCACTGGCAAATCGTTCCCGGAGACCCGCTGGACAAGAGCATCACCATTAGACCTCTCGAGCCGCAACCAGCTACTCATCTGGCTCGAGAGTTCATGCTCAAGACCAGAAGAAGAAAAGGATTATCTGAAGATGTATCTATTAACAAATTCTTCGACGATCCCATGCTGCTCGAGTTGGCTCGTCAGACTGAATTTTTAAATTATCCACTATAAGCTTATTAATTTGGTACTTTAGTAGGTTAAGTTTTTTATAATTAGAATTTATTATTGAATAATAAATTTATTATTGAATAAATATTTGTATATAATATTTTAGTATGGTTTTATTTTTTAATCCTAGAGTAGAGGGTGTAATTTTTTTAATTTAATTACTAAAAGAAATAAATTAAAATTGGCATTAATAATTAATAAATAAATTTAAGCTTGAAAATATTTTTCAAAAATTGCAACCTTGCAGTCACTACGTGACTGCCGAGACTTGTGAACTATAAATAAAAATTTTGCATTATTAATTAATGACTTTTGGTAAATTGCACTGTACTTTCTTAACTATTGACGTTTTTTAAGATATAAGCTCATCCCGATGTTACACTCATCGAGGCCTTTCATTTGAATACCCACATGGCATTTTTTATATATTTTATATATTTAGTATTTGTAAAATATATATAATATATAAAATATATGAAAAATTGATGTGGGTATTCAAATGAAAGGTCTCGATGAGTGTAATGTCGGGGTGAACTTATATCTTTAAAAATGTCAATATTTCACGAGATACAAGGGTCATTTCTTAACTATGTATCTAGAGATGGAGTATTTTCGAATGCAGCCTAAATACTTATCATAATAAATTGACTATCGCTGAGAATTAAATGAAACTTTAAAAAGGCATGAATTTAAATCAGGACCTTTGCAATGATACTAAATTTCACGAAAAAAACCAATTTTATCATATGACTATCCTGGATAAAAAATTTCTCTTATTCTCTTAATGATATAGACTATAGCAATCTTGCAGTCACTACGTGACTGCCGTGACTTGTGAACTATAATCAAATAAAATTTTGCTCTATTAAATAATGACTTTTGTTAAATTGCACTGTACTTTCTTAAATATTGACATTTATAAAGATATAAGCTCATCTAGATGTTACACTCATCAAAAGCTTTCATTTGAATACCCACATGCATTTTTTATATATTTTTCATATATACATATATATAATATATATAAATATATGAAAAATTGATGTTGGTACTCAAATGAAAGGTCTTGATGAGTGTAACATCAGGATGAGCTTATATCATTGAAAATGTCAATGGTTCACAAGATACAAGGTCTTTTCTTAATTATGTATCTTCAATTCGATTCTAAATATGCTCGGACATATCTAGGTGTTTAAAAAGTTTAAAATTAAAATTGTAGACTAAATATTGAAAATCAAAAGAAAATTTAATTAAATTTCCTACAAAAAAGGTCCTTGTTACTTTTTCCGTATCTTTTCTCATTTAACCATAATTTAAAATTTTAGTTTAATTACACCAGGTGTTCATTATCATAAAAAATAAAAAATTCTGTTATACATATTATTGTGATTTCATCAAAAATTAGGCTTACTATCTTTCCTCCTGCGCGTGAGGTTCATTGTCTACTGACCTAATCTCTGTTTAAAGAGCGAGCCTAATTTATGTATGCCCTGGAGTTATCAATTGATTGAGGAAAATAATAAACAAAAGTTAGCAGGGATAAAAGAAAAAAAAAACTTGCGAAATAAAAGTAACAAAATTTCTATAATTCGATGAGCTCATCAAACTAATTTTTTATTGAGTTTGATACGCACTACCACAGTTGAGAGCTGGTGGTTCTTGTTGTTATTAGAGTGCTTTTAAAATCACGGTTGCACGTAATCGTCTGCTGATTATATGGATTCGACAATGATTTCTGATGATGCCTGCAGACTCTTGGAATGGCTAAAATAATACAGTGTCGTGTTCTTCCTATATAGCTACAGCTACACTCTTGTGTGTCTTTAGCTTTAGCTTTAGCTTTAGTGCTACGGATCTCATCTCTCTGCCACAGAGAAGAGAGCAGGGACCATGGACCGGGTTCGTTAGCGAGACCTTGGCACGAGGAACCCTGTCATTATGCGGCTGGTCCTCATCATTCCCCTCTACATCCCCTTTTTACCTCATCATTCTCTACTACACCTGATATACACCAATGTCTTTCCGTCTGTTATCTTATTCTTATGTTATTTTATATTATATGCCTCGGCAATCATGTTTCGTTTCGTTACTTTAAATCTCGGCTTCCTAGTCACATCTTAAATCTCAGAAACGCTTAAATTCTCACAATACTCTTTGCAATATTTTATTTTAAATCTCAAATTTTTTGTCAACAAATATATTCTAACTTTTCTATTTAAATTTATTATTCAATTCTTTGCTATTATTTTATTATGAAAAAAAAAAAATTCAATATTTTTGATGTTCAAAAAATTATTAAAATTTTTTTTATTTTCAACAGAGATTTACGATAGAATTATTTTACTGAAATGAACAGACTTTTTAAAATTATTAAAATTTTTTTATCAAAATAATTTTAAATCAATTTTGTTTTCAGGATAGTCAAATGATGAAATCGGTTTTTTTTTAGTGAAATTTAGTGTCATTGCAAAGGTCTTGATTTGAATTTGTGTCTTTTTAAGGTTTGACATTTTTAAAGATATAAGCTCATCCCGATAATATACTCATTGAGACCTTTCATTTGAGTACCCACATCAATTTTTCATATATTTATATATATTATATATATGTATATATGAAAAATATATGAAAATGCATGTGGGTACTCAAATGAAAGTTCTTGATGAGTTTAACATCGGAATGAGTTTATATCTTTGAAAACGTCAATAGTTGAGAAAGTACAGGGCATTTTAACAATTATCTTATGAACTATTGACATTTTTGAAGATATAAGCTCACCCCGATGTTACTCTCATCAAGACCTTTCATTTGAGTACCCACATCAATTTTTCATATATTTTATGTATTTATATATTTCACAAATATCATATATATATAAGATATATAAAAAATAGCATGTGGGTACTTAAATAAAAGGTCTGGATGAGTGTAACATCAAATTGAGTTTATATTTTGAAAAATGTCAATAATTAAGAAATGACATTGTATCTTGTCAACTAATGATATTTTTAGAGATATAAGCTTATCCCGATGTTACACTCATCAAGACCTTCCATTTGAGTACCTACATCAATTTTTCATATATTTATATATATATTATATATATGTATATATGAAAAATATATCAAAATGCATGTGGGTACTCAAATGAAAGCTCTTTGATTACTGTAACACCAGGATGAGCTTATATCTTAAAGAACGTCAATAATTAAATAACTACAGTGCAATTTAGCAAAAATCATTATTTATTAAAGCAGAATTTTATTTATTTATAGTTTACAAGTCACGGCAGTCACATAGTGAATAAATAAGTAAATAATCTTGAAATTAACTTTGAATTCAAATTCTGGTTAAATGATAAGAGACGAAAAAAATGAGCACTTTTTTTTATAGAAATTTCAATTTTCTATAAAAAATTCTTCAATCATTTTTTTATATCTTCAATATTGAGTCCAAAATATTCTTTTCAAACAATTTTAAACTTTAGTATTATCAAAAATTAGAATTTAATTTTAAATTATTGCAATGAAAAAAATTATTAATAAAAAAAATTATTAAAATATTCTTCACTTAAAAATTTTATTTACTTCTATTCAATTTAACAACAAACTTTATTATTTTTTTACCTCTTTATTCCATAGCTGTAATTAATTTTATCAAAATTCAGATTCAGTATTTAAAATTAAAAAAAATAACTCTATCAATTTCATTCTCTATCCTCTAGAAAATCAATTGAAACAATGTCGGTAAAATAATACGTATAAATGTTGTGATAATTACAACACAACTTCTGTACATTACAAATTACAACATAATATTACACGCGATTTATAATTTAAAACGATCAAAGCGGCATAACTTTTTCTTCATAGACCTCCAGGATGATTATGATGATGATGATGATGATCATCATCATCCGGTCCATCAAAACCTCAAGTGAAGCATCCACCAGAACGGCGGTAGACTAGACCAGACCGCATTTACTTCCTTTATGACCGTTAAAAGCCTTACTCGGTTGTTCATAGTCCTATAGGCAAACAATAAGATCGATGATGCACCGTGTACCAACGACTCATTGTCCGTCTAAGAACTAAGAAGTAGGCGGCAAATGTATGCTGTGTTATATTATGTGTGCCTCAACTTTTCTTCAACATCTTTTCATTTACCTGCACTAGAACCCACACCGCTCCTCCTTTAGGATAAATTAGAGGCCCGAGACCCAGGTACCGGTTCTCACCCCATATGTTCTTATATATACATATATACCAATGGGAAACTCGGTAAATAATATTAATCGAGCTTACTAGTTTGGACACTTGAATGTATTTTTAAAAGTACCAGTACTGTAAGCTGGAGAAGAATGCCTGGAGAAACGATCTTTGATCTCTCCAGTCAAATTGAGTGTAATGTAGAATTGAGGAACCGTTTACAAATAATCCTAGGTAGCATTCAAGGAAGTTTTTTTTAATGTTATTTATTGCGAGATATTTATCTTGAGAACAAAAAAAAAATTGAAATAGTTTTTTTTTATGATTAAAGTTCCTTTCAAAGGTCAGGAAAATTTTTTACTGCTCTAGATTTTTGAAAGTTTAGAATGTCAAAAATTGAATTTTTAATATTAGTAATTTCAATAGTCGGTAAGGATTTTTTGAAACTTTTTTCAGATGCCGGATAAATATTTTTAAATTAACAATTCAAAAAAGGTTCACGTGAGCCAAGAAAATATTTTTTTTACTAATTATTTTCTTGAGAAAAAAAAATTTTTTGTATTATAAAAAATTTTTTAATACATATTCATAGTCAGGAGAAAAAAATAGTCGGTTATTTCCGGCGCTTTAATAAATACTCTGGTAAGATTTTTCTGGAAGCGAGAACCGTAGGCCATCTAGCGGCAAAACCAAGAACTAACTTTTAAAAAATCTTAGTAGTCATAAAATTCCCAACATTTTTTATCTAAATGGTATATCATAGAATTTTAGATAAAAATTCAGAGGTAGAATTCA